CCCCCCCCCCCCGGCCCTTGGCCACAGCACCGGAGGACAGGGGAGGGGGATACTGTGGGGGAAAGAAAGGGCCCTGGGGACGGGAGGAGAGGCAAAGGGGAAAAGAAAAGAAAGAAAAAAAAAAAAGGGCTGTGCCTGATGGGACACCTCCCCCCCCAACCTGAGCCCAACTCCAACCCTCATTCTCCCACACTCCCTGCCCCCAGCCTCCTGCACTGCACTCCGTCCCCACCCCCCCATCCTCAAGGCCCTGCCCTGAAGGAACAGGGCAACACTAGTAAGCCTTTTAGGTTTAAGGGGAAAAGAAAAGAAAGAAAAAAAAAAAAGGGCTGTGCCTGATGGGACACCTCCCCCCCCAACCTGAGCCCAACTCCAACCCTCATTCTCCCACACTCCCTGCCCCCAGCCTCCTGCACTGCACTCCGTCCCCACCCCCCCATCCTCAAGGCCCTGCCCTGAAGGAACAGGGCAACACTAGTAAGCCTTTTAGGTTTAAATATTTTACAAGATGTAGTTTTAACTGCTTAATTTGCAGACAATGTTCAGACGATGAGAACTGGCATACCTCTGATTTTTATTCCTTCCCTGCCTCTTAAATCTAGAATTCTCCCTTCTTCCATCCTACACCCTGACCTCTGCACTGGACTTCACTTTGAGGGAACAGTCTGGTTTCTAGCAACAGGAAAATTATATAGATCAGAAATGCACCACATCTAGAAAAGAAAATCCCTCGTGCCATCTGGTATTAACATAAAGAAGTGAAAGTTAAAGAGAGACAATATGAAAAAATTAAAATGGCATACTGAAGGTTACCTAATCACTGTTTTAGAGACAGTCCATTAAATCAACGTGGGCAGCAATGGACTATGACACATATTGTTGAGGACTGAAAAATCATTATTTCCTGGAGGTCTTATCTTGAACATCATTGGTGAGAACCTCATGACCTGGCTCAAACAAACAAACCTAATCACTAGTATCTACACATAACTCGCTCAAAACACAGTATTTTCAAAAAAAAGAAAGTTTCCATTTTAAAATCTTTTATTTCTTGCTTAGCAGCAAGACAATGGCATTTCAAACACATCCACAATAGTTGAAAATAGGAGAGATTAAATACGTTTGTTTCACATACATATATATGGTGTTATATGTACAATGTCTGCTGTGAAAACATGCCTTCTAAAAGCTCAGTTACAAGAATTCTAAAAACGTGAACAGATGAAGTGAAAGGAAAAAAAGAAAAAAAAAGTCTTTTCTCCCTATTTAGGGCCCTACCTGCATTCATTACACATCAAGAACTCCACTTGACTTCAATAAAATTTTGGATGCACAAAAAAGCAGGCAGGATTTAAAGCGTAACAGCGCCCATGGGCAATTATTCTAATTTAGTACCAGTTAGTATATCTGCTAGTACCAAATAAGTTTTGCCCAATAAAATATGGGCCTGACAGGTAATCTGGGTAGAGCTGATAGCTGCAGTCTAGAAAACATTTGAAAAGTTTTACCTTTGGGTGGCCCAGTGCTGTGGTGACATACAAGAGACTAAGGTTCAGGCTCAGACTAACGATTCGCACATCCTGGGGCAGTGGAGGCTGGACACATAGTTGAGGTGACACACCAAGGAAGAGACGGCCAGCCCAACCCCTCACACAGCATCCCTTTCTGGTTAATCCATGGAGTGATAATGACATTGATTTGCCTCATCCTGCCAGTTAATGGCAAGGCACTGCATTGATGGCTCCTAGAAATGGATAGGAGTGATTGGGAATAAAAGGGGGGGGAAAAAGGGGGCCATGATGAAGAAACGAGTAAAACCCAGAATCTCTCACCATCTCATTGTCATACCTTACACTGTAATATCATAACTACATGGGGAATGTAAGACTAGAAATAAAAATAAAATGGTTAATGAGAAGGAAATTTGCTACCTATTTTAACAACTTAAGCAGATATCTAAGAATTTAAATTTTGTTTCCTAAAACAAAATCTCAATACTAGAAACTACAGCAAGCAGGTATTGTAGAGCCTGCTTAGTTCATAACCCTGTAGCAAAAGATAAAAATATTAATTGCAATCAGTATTTTATATTCTGACACCTGTATAGTTCACCCTTTTCATTACACCAAGAACATGTTCACATTTTGCTTGGTATTTAAAACTGTTTGTGCTTAAATAAAGTTTGTTCATTACTCACCAAACAATGCCCTGAGCCCCAGATCCTATGGGCTTCAATTGCTGGTAGCGTTTTAGTACAGTGAATGTGGAATCTGCGACTTGAACACTGTAAAACTGACTATCACATTTACTGTCACTCATGTTGCAGTATCATGAAGACTTTTTCCCCCAAGGACCTGGTACAGTTTTCAAGATCTTTAAACACAAAGAGATATTGAACAATTGTTTATTCTAAAAAGGGAAATGCATTAAAAAAGTGTCAATATATTTTCTGTATAACAGTTATTCAATACACATGCTATTTATGAAATATTTTCATCAGAAATTGTTACTACTATACCAAGAGGGCCTACATTTTGAAAGATTTATTAGAACATAAGATTCTGCAGTCATAAGTTTACTATGGCCAATGAGCTACTAAAAAGTCACATTATATAGAACTACAAATCCTGGAGTTTCCTTAACAAAAAACAACCTAACTTCTTTACTTCTTTTACCCATCTTTCTATAAAAGAAAAACTATAGGCATGTTCAGTTGAGAATAAAATTTTGAGAAATTCCAAGAGCTAAACTAAAAATAAATCTAACACCACATAAACCAAGGCAAGAAGTCTTCTTACATGTGTAGTACCAATACTAAATTAATCAAGTTACAAGGGAAGACAGCTGAGATATACCGGTTGAAAAATAAAAAGGAGATTTTTTACAAATGCATAAGAACTGCTATACTGGGTAAAACCAAAGGTCCATCTAGCTCTGTATCCTGTCTTCTCACAGTGGGCAATGCCAGGTGCTCCCAGAGGGAATGAACCAAACACATAAACATCCCTTCCCTGTCAGCATTCCCAGCCTTAGACAAACAGAAGCTAGGGACACCATTCCTAGCCATCCTGCTAATAAGCACTGATGGACCTATACTCCACAAATTTATCTAGTTCTTTTTTGAAACCTGTTAAAGTCTTATTTTTCACAACATCATCTGGCAAGGAGTTCCAGAAACAAAAGGAGTTGTCAGAAACAAAAGGAGGACATTAAACGATAACAGTAACCAGAGTAATAGCATAATAGCACAAGTTCAGTTATTGTGAGGATGGATTTTAGACATTTTAGACCACATTCGAATTTTGTCATTCACTGGTGCTTCAGAAATTTCCCCTCCCCCCACAAAACAACAGAATTTTGCTGCAACAAGTCAAAGTGTGAATGCAGCTTCGGCAGCAACAGCATGCACCTGCCAACAAAGCAAAACCCTCATCTGGGGTGGAAGTATTTTGTCAACAAATGAGCTGACAAACAGCATTCACACACACTTATTTTTAGCGAAATAAACATATCAACACAACCTTATCACTAAAAGCTGCATAGTGTAGACATGTACTTAATTTTCTTACAGGTAATGATGGGTCAGGGTTGGGCACGGAGATTGCAACAGGACATTATGTGTAAGAAAATTAAGCGTGGGATAGAGTGGGGGGGCTCAGAGCAGAGGGTGTGGGGGGTGCAGGTGTCAGGCAGGAGGTTGGGAGGTTTCCAGGGTAGGCTATTCAGGTGTAGGATAATGAGGGCAGGGTGTAGGGGGTGAAACTCAGGGCTGGGAATGCACCCATCACACTCTGCAGCCACTGGATCTCCAGGGCTGGCCAGTATCACGCTGCCTAACCTCCCAAGCACCAGGGCTGGAGCCTGGGTGTATTGTAATTATGCCACCCAGGGCATCAGAGCCAAAGCCTGAGCCAACCAATCTCTTGCCAGTGTGCTGCACCTGGGTGCACTAGCTTACTTCCACCTTTGGTGAATATATGGATGCATATAGGTGTCAAATTAAGGTTGCACAGGCCACCAGAAATGTGGTATTTTAGCTCTTAGGCTCTACAATTTAAATAGCACATAATTTGCTGAAAGAGACAAATAACTACACTCAAGGAAAAATTCTGTGGTTTTTTTCCAAATACTTAGAGCCACTGGAATAGTTTAAAAAAATTAACATTGCATTTAACGTTTAAAAAAAAGTTAAAATATTTAATTCACTGAGGCTGACAAAATAAATAATGAAGATAATCACTTTCCTCTCGGTTTTAATAGAAAATAATTCACTTTTAATCATTGCTTTGGGAATGTTTTGTCATGCATTGTAAATGTTTGTGTATATATATATTTTGGTTTTTACATCCACTGCTTATATTTTCTTTATAAACAAAAAAACCTTTTATACAAACAATAAATGTATATAAAGCCAGAAAAAGTAGAATGCTTTTCTATTTGAAATAATGAAATTTTTTCTCCATCAAAACCTCCATGAAGTAAGCTTAAGCTCAGAGCCATCGATATGGCTATAGAAATGGAATAAACATATTGAAATCAACAGTGTATCATTTTGGTTGGTTTTGAAATATCAGAAAGACCCTATAGTCAATTTGTTGGCATTTATCTATCTGTCTATGGTATCATGACTTTTGAATGAAGCATCTGACCAATTCCGTGAGAGGATACACTGAGCTCCTGGCATCTGATTTAGAAGACCAATCAGCTATCATCGCTGTCCATGGGTTAAAAACTGGCTGATGACAGCTATAAAAATCTTCCAGCATGATATAATTCATTTTATCTCTGTTCCAATAGATTTTAAAATAATGACCACCTGAATGACTTATCCCCCAGAGAGAAACACTACTGGTGGTGGAAAAGGGGCAAATAGGAGAGTGCACACAACCCCCAATATGGGAGGGGAGAATGAGGGATCCTGGCATGGAGTGGAAAAGAGAAATAGGGGGCAAACATTGTGGAGGGAAGATGGGAGACAATGGGCAAGAGGCACAGGGGTCAGCGTCTGGCGGGGAGGGGGAGGTTGGGAGAATAAGGAGGCATGCTGAGGTCTTGGCTTGACAGACCCAAGTTTGAAAATAGGAGAAATATGAGGTACATTAGCCCCTGGAATAGGGAGAACACAGAAACCCCCGGAAATGAGGGAGAGGATAAAAGCAGGGAGCTTCTGAAATGGAGGGAGACAGGATCATGACACACACAGAACTTGTGTAGGGACTAGAGCAATACAAAGAACTCCTGTTATGTCAATGAGCTCAGACCACCAAAGCAACAAACTGCAAGACCCTATAGAAGAGGACTAATTGGATTTAAAGGGCTATTCAAGAGAGTACCTTATTACAGCCAGGTATTGCAAGAATACTATGCTTTATTAAATAAAAGAGGAGAAATAGTCTATGTTTTCAAACAAATTATAAAGAGATTCATAATATACCAAAAAGAGTTGCTCATAAATTCAGAATTAAAACAATCCTCTCTCTTCACTCTTTCAAGCATCCAAGTCACTTCAGTGAATTCTTAGAATCTATAAAAATACTGTACAAATTTGAACTCTGTTTTTAATTTACAGGGCATTAGTTTTATTGGCAAGGATTAAGAAACTCTTCATCACATTTTCAAATTTTATCTTTGAAAACTCATGGAGATTGGGAGAGATCATGGATGATTGGAAAAAGGCAAATGTAGTGTCCATCTTTAAAAAAGGGAAGAAGGACAATCCAGGGAACTACAGACCAGTCAGCCTTACCTCACTCCCCAGAAAAATCATGGAGGAGAGCCTCAAGGAATCCATTTTGAAGCACTTGGAAGAGGGGAAAGTGATCAGGAACAGTCAACATGGATTCACGAAGGGCAAGTCATGCCTGACCAATCTGATTAGCTTCTACGATGAGATAACTGACTCTGTGGATATGGGAAAGTCAGTGGATGTGATATACCTTGACTTTAGCAAAGCTTTTGATATGGTCTCCCACAATACTCTTGCCAGCAACTTAAGGGAGTATGGATTAGATAAATGGACTATAAGATGAATAGAAAGCTGGCTAGACTGTCAGGCCCAACAGATAGTGATCAATAGCTTGATGACAGGTTAGCAGTTGATTTCTAGCCGAGTGCCCCAAGGATTGGTTCTAGGACCAGTTTTGTTCAACATCTTTATTAATGACCTGGATGAGGGGAGGATTTCACTCTCAGCAAGTTTGCAGATGACACAAAGCTAGGGGGAGAGGTAGATACGCTGGAGGGAGAGGACACAAAGCTAGGAGGAAGGGTAATACAACAGAATGACCTGGATAGATTAGAGGATTGGGCCAAAAGAAATCTGATGAGGTTCAACAAGGGTAAGTGTAGAGTCATGCACTTGGGACGGAAGAATCCTGAGCATTGTGACAGGCTGGGGATCGACTGGCTAAGTAGCTGTTCTGCCGAAAAGGACCTGGGGATTACAGTGGATGAGAAGCTGGATACGAGTCAACAGTGTGCCCTTGTAGCCAAGATGGCTAATGGCATATAAGGTTGCATTAGGAGGAGCACTGCCAGCACATCTAGAGAAGTGATTATTCCCCTTTATTCGGCTCTGGTGAGGCCACATCTGAAGTAGTGTGTTCAGTTCTGGGCCCCCTGCTATAGAAAGGATGTAGACTCATTGGCGAGGGTCCAGCGGAGGGCAAACAAAATGTTTATGGGGCTGGAGCGCATGACCTATGAGGAGAGACTGAGGGATTTGGGTTTGTTTAGTCTGCAGAAGAGAAGAGCGAGGGGGGAGGGGGATTGATAGCAGCCTTCAACTTCCTGAAGGGAGGTTCCAAAGAGGATGGAGAAATGCTGTTCACAGTAGTGACAGATGGCAGAACAAGGAAGTTACAGTGGGAGAGGTCTAGGTTGGATATTAGGAAAAACTATTTCACTAGGAGGGGGGTGAAGTACTGGAATGGGTTACCTAGGGAGGTGGTGGAATCTCCATCCCTAGAGGTTTTTAAGTCTTGGCTTGACAAAGCCCTGGCTGGGTTGATTTAGTTTGGATTGGTCCTGCCTTGGGCAGGGGGCTGAACTTGATGACCTCCTGCGGTCTCTTCCAGCTCTATGATTCAAATTGAGTAGGGATAGCTGAAAGAATACAAACTATAAAGTCAGATTTTTTTTAAATTACGTAACAGTGAGCATTAGATTAGTAGTCAAAACTCTAAAATATGATCACTGTAATATCTAAGCACCTATCAAATAATTCCTGCTCTAAAACAGAACAGATTTTTGCTGTTTTCTTCATCATTCCCTCCCTTATTCTGCGAGTTTTAGGTCCTCCGACACCCCTTTCTTATTCTCTCTGAACAAGAG